CTCAGGAATCGAATGGAATAGGTTTTAAGGCTCTATCTCTCATAGTTTCCAAGATAATCGGGAAAAACGAAAGTGCCAAAAAAATTTAATTTAATTCATCTTGCATAAGGCCTAGGAAGTGGAAAAACGCAATCCTGATGTATAAAAATACAACTGCGTGAAACACACAGTAGTATAAAAATTACAACTGCGTGAAACACACAGTGTATAAAAATCAACTGCGTGAAACAACAGTGTATAAAACTTCAACTGCGTGAAACACACAGTAGTATGAAACTTCAACTGCGTGAAATACACAGCAGTATGAAAATTCGGCTGCGTGAAACACACAAACTTCACGCATGCGTGGAGTGTATGGAGTGTACGGGAGTGATTCACGCAATGGTGCGAATAGTCACGGCCATATAAATTCCGACTCTGATATCAATTTAGTCACAACAAAACTGAGCATGCGGAGTCTATTCAGATTTAGACACAAATTCAGGCTGTGATATGAATTTAGGGGCAACGAAATTAAAATGGTCCTAAAGTAAATTTAAGCCGTGGCTTAAATTCATGTTGTTTTAAATTTAGACCTGTTCTTAAATTCAGGGCTGATATTAAAATCAGGTATATCCTTAAATTCTGGTTTGAGCGTAAATTAAAGTTCATCATTAAATTCAGGTCTATGGAAAACACGATCATAAATACTAATTTTGTATGAATAATTAGTCTACGACTTAAATTTAGGTCGTGACTTGAAGTCATGCTTAGTCTTAAATTCAGGTTTATACACAAATTTACGAGTATAAACACCAATTTTGTATGAATAATTATCTTGACAGGTAGTACATCCTGAAGCACACAATTAATCCTCAAAATATGTCCAAGAATTGATGAAATATGATGATTTCATGGGTTGAATGGACAGGAGTATCGATTGATTTGTTGAATAGTGTTAAATATTGAAACTAGTGTTTCACATAAATTTAATCTCAGGCATAAATTCAGACTCAGATATGAATTAAGTAACAACAAAAATGAGGTTGTGGAATAAATTCAGATCTGTGATTGAATTAAGATTGATAGATAAATTTAGGTTCAGTCGCATGGAGAGAAGTATTCAATACAAATTATGTATCTTTTGCGTAATTCTGGAGCGGAATGTGGTAGTAGGAAATTTTACGGAACTGTCACGGAATTTTTCCAGAGCGGTCCGTAATTTTTATCTGAATCTCCGGTAATCGGTAAGCGAATTGTGAGTTCCGTAATTTTTTCTGAACATTTTCCTCCGTGCGTAAATTCAGGCTCTGATATGAATTTAGGGACCGCGAAATTGAGGTAAATAAATTTTACGTCAGGGCTTAAATTCAGGTCGCGATTTAGGTTGAACGTCGTTAATGTATTCAGATCGCGACTTAAATCCAGGTCTATACAAAAATCCACAAGTATAAATACCAAATTTGTATGAACAATTGTCTTGACTGGTAATACCTCCTAAAGTACACAATTAATCCTCGAAATATATCAAGAATTGATAAAAAATCATGACATGACAGGGTGAATGGAAAGGAGTATTGATTGATTCATTGAATAGTTCCAAATATTTCATTGTTTCACTTTGTTTTTTCAAATTTCTGCAATACTCCGAATATTTGAATTGGGACCATTAAAACCATCCACAGCAACATGCACCTAATAAATGTCCCACTGTATCATATGTGACTACCTAAATGATGGATTGGCAACGCGTGGGGCGGAAACACGTGCTGGTTAGTTGCATCTCTCTTCCATCAGCTAAGGCCACACAGTTTTTATCTCTACACTTGCACAACATCAGGACTTTAATTTACACTTTCAAAATTTTTTGAACGCACTCTGAGGTTTTCCATCGTTGTGTACAATCGAGTTTTGGCATATAATGCAAGGGAGGCGTGTTTTTCAGTGGTGATGATGTGAATGACGATTGTGACTGATCATTCAGTGAAGGATGATGATTCAGTGGTGAAACGATGAAACACAAAAAGTTCAAAGTGAATTTACTATTTGTTTCGTCAGAAAGTGAGAGGAGTTGATCACTTCGCGGCAGGATTGTGACTCAATAAACTCAGAAATCGATCCTCTCGACTTTTCTCAGATTTCCTGCTTGGACTATTTTCAAAACGCAACGAAATTGGTGAATAAAAAAATTGACAGTAAAATGTAAGTGTAAAAAATAATTTCCTCATTTCTACCTCAAGACCAATATTCTTTTTTCAACAAAAAAAATCTGTGACAATTTTTCTAACGCAAAAAATTAAAGATGTTCTCTATAAAAAAAAAAAGTTGTTAATCAATTTTCTCTCGTCTCTTCGTGTTCTAGAGTTCTTAATAATTATTTAGTATGGCAGACAGTGAGATCCCTCATCGCACTTCTATAAAAACCCTTCAGAGAGGCCTACAAGGGCCTGAAGAAGGCTCTGACAGGGTCAGAAGGGAGAGAGGAGCAGTGAAGATACTGCGTCAGTGACACAAACAAAGTCTTGGGGTTTGCCATAGGGGCCATGTTCGTCAGAGACGTGTTCCATGGGAAGAGCAAACCCAAAGTATAAAAACTAATTCTCACACCTAGTGCAAGTTCACGATCTTAGAACCATAATCTGATTTTTTTTTTCATAAATAATGCAATTGAAAAAATTTTGTTTTCATCGCTTTTTTTAATCTTCACTCAATTGAAAGAGTGTCTTTCCAACCCCAGTAACAATTCCACCGTCCCTGTGGGGTTCATTCCACCATTCGCCTGACTGGATGCCACATGTGTCTCCACGTATGGCTATCTCGAGAAAAAGAGAAACTCGAAGATGAAAAAAAAACAATGTTGAAAAAAAATTGCAGCTGATCCTCGGGGTCTAGAATACGCAAACATTTTGTATTTATCTTCGCTCAAATTATTCTGAATGTATTATTAGGGCTTTCTGCAGTTCTCGGAGATTCACGGATTGATATACTGATGTATTTTGTATGAGGAAAGGGGTTGGCATGATGAGATGCAGGATGTCACTGCATTGAACTCCTTTTTCGGGGATTTTTTTATCTCCTCTTTTTTATCTATCCTGGATATCAGGACGAGAGATTGGGCGGAATTTTTGCCTTTTCGGTGACCCTAAATGCTAAATTGAGAGGAACCGATGGATTGCAGATGGATTGATGATCAATTTATGCGGCATTTCGCGAATTATACTCTCATTTTTTTTCTCCCTTTTTCGAAATTTCGAGGTATGAAAAATTCAAGGAGAGGTGGGGGAGGGCTATTTGACCGGAATTACGGTTTGGAAATCATTTCCGGGCTTAAATTAATGTACAGGCCTAAATCCAGGTTTCTACAAGAATTTACGGTCAGTCGAAACTTGAGGACATCCTAAAGTATTTTTTAGAGTTTGCTACTGACCACAGTACAGATTCCGCGATTTTCAATCATCAAATTTGTCAATTAAATTGCGTGAGAAAAATTTGGAAAAAATCATGAGCATTCAGCGTCAGTAAAATTACATTTTGCACAGAATTATTTTGCCTCCGCATGGAAGCTTTGTAATCCTTCAAAGTTAAGTTTTGGATTTTTCGTGTTATATCGCTCGTACGTGTGTGTATATGTGGATACGTATGTAACAAAGTTTTTCTTCAATTGTTCGCTAATGAATGGATGGAATTGATTTTTTCAATCGCCATTAATTAAAATTTAATTCAACTATTAGTTTTTTTAATTTTCAAAGTTTTTTCAAAAATGGGTCGTCCCACGATAACTAAAGAAAAATGTTCTGAATTGATTGAATGATGGCTTAAAAAAATTATTTAGATGTCCTTTTGGTCGAGTTCGAAAATGAAGGCGATAGCAATAATAATTATTTTGATTTATTTGAAAATTTTCAAAAATTTTGAATTTTATGAAAATCATAGTTCCGAGATATCTTTGAGAATCATCGTTCAAATGAATTCAATCATCGCTTTAAATGTTTGTTGTAATGTCATTAATTGGCAGTCAAAAGATGATTACGATAGTTATATTAGTTGATTTGATTTTTATGATGGTTGTTGAAAATTTCTAATCTTTTCACGAATATCCATAATGGCTTTTTCTGATGGTTTCTTCAAATCTGATGTTTCAAATTCATTCAAGTGTGTGTAAATAAAAATTTTCTATTAACATTTTATCGAAGGGCTGAGGGTAAAGATAGAACTGTGAACAAGACAATCGGTTGTATAGAAGAAAGGGATAATGAGAATAATGATGATGATAACATTCAACTGAGTTGAAAATCTGACAAAATTAGTAAAAAATAAATCTTATTCAATGTAATAAGATGAAATGAAGAATGAATTATACAGGACCGAAGGAAATGATGTGTAAAATAAACATTGGGAAGCATATTGCTAATTTATTAGCAAAAATAATTATACTATATGCACTACAAGAGCAATTTCGCACTTGTTTTAAACATTCATTGTTTATAAATAAATAATTGAAATTGTTTCAATTGTTTCAAACTTTCGGAGACCTCATTTTTTTAGGTATGAAATCGATTTCTAGTAAAATTTTGAATATGAGTATGAACAAAATTGTTACGATTTAGACAAATGATTTTTATAGTGGAAGATTGATTGTTTACAAATTATTTATGGAAAGTGCTGGTAATTTCAAAAAATTGCAATTTTTTCAATTATGTCATCGATGTTCCTCCAAAAGTGTACTTTCTAATTTTGTTTCCAGACGTTTAAAATGTTTTCTAACGCTTTAATGCAAACTTTAAATGATAAAATCATTGTAAAACACCCGGAAACTTGGGTTCAAATGGGGCTCAAATGAAAGCTCTGATGTTCGACTACAAAAGTAGAAAAGCATTGGATATCCTTAAATTCATACCCCGAACTGAATTTCGGTCTAGGCCTTGAAATTATATTCCGGCTTAAATTCAGGTATGGGACTAAAATCAGGTTCCGACAGGAGTTAATGCCGAAAAATTCCAAAAATTTTAAAAACAAAATAAAATTTCGAAAACTTGCAGATTTTTCGTCTCCTGAAATTGACTTTAAAACACAAATTCCGCAATTTCAACACGAAAATAAAAAATTGAGGTAAATAAACCCTAGGGGTGTGTCACAAAAAAAAATCCATTCGCAAAAAAAAAACCTGAAACGAAGGGGGAATAACCGAGTGCGAAACAGTATCGTAAAAGCGTCGGACACGTACGGTCATTCGCAAAATGGGTGGTATAGTTAACGAGCGAAAGGGGGAGGAGGAGGATGAGAGGGGGAGGG